CACTTTTCTGACCTCCCCAGATACCAAGTACATACTTGGTGCCCAGACATACATGTAGGCAAATCATTCATACATATAAAATGATAAAATAAATCAATAATAATAATAATAATAAAGTTCTTGTATTTATTCGCTGCTTGGTGCAGAAAAAAAAGTTAATATCCATGGACACTAGGCAGGGAGAAGGCTGCAGCATAGTCAGTATTTGTACAAAGAACCCCATTTTTCCCCATATTGCTCACAGGAACCAACCATACCCTTGTTATGAAAAGCTGATTGTCGGGGCTCCTGGCTCCCAGAAACACACTGCTAAAGCTACTGTCCTGTTTCTGAGTTGATAAAAGACAAGCCCAACCATCTGCATTAGAACCACGGACAGTAAGCATGTCCAAGCTGTGCCCTGAAATCACAATGGCATATGTATTAAATGTATGGTATAATATGAAAACTCTTTGGAACATAAGACAGCTTTTGAGAATTGAAAATTAAATGGATTAGAGCATCTTGGTCATTCTGTGTTGTCTGTCAGTCTTGTTAGGTCAACCTATACCCTGGGTGAGATTTCCCCGAAAGAGGAAAGTTATTTCACATTAGTGGAGAGACGTTCCCTGTTGCTTCCCACGGAGTAATTAGCTACTCAATTGAAAACTTTTAATTATTAATTTATGTCTCTACCTCACAAGACAATTACTGATTTCAGGAGACTTGAAGAGCCAAGTGTAAACAATTTTTAATTTATTAAAAGGATGGGATGGGGGCTGGAGAGCTTGTTCAGTGGTTAAGAGATCATACTGCAGAGGACCCGAGTTCAATTCCCAGCACCTATGTTGAGTGGCTCACAACCACCAGAGCCCCAGTTACTGAGAATCCAATACACTCTTCTGGCCTCTATAAGCACCCTCACTCACCTGTGTATATTCACACACACATACACACACACAACTAAAAATAAAATACATTTTAAAAAGGAAATGAAAGAAAAATTTATTCAGTAAGAAACAAAACCAAGTATTATGAAAAGAAAATCTGACATGTAGCACACATCGGTCATGTTTAAACTTTCCAAAGACAACACGGGTTAAAGGTAGAGCGAAGACCCAGCAAGGTATTTATTCTATGTAAACTGTCCCATCCATGCATCCATAGACACATTCTTTCTAAATCAGTTAGTCACCTAAAAGCATGAGCAAATGCAATTTGCTTTAAAAAGTCAAAGAGCTCATCCAGCATGGTGCTGCATGTCTGTAATTATAGCACAAAGGAGGCCAAAGAAGGAGGAGTCTCATGAGTTCAAAGCCAGCCTGGGCCACAAATAGTCAAAACACTTCTACTAACAATAATAATAGACTAAGAAAGTAAAAAAAAAAAAAATCCCGAATGATGAGACACTTTTCAGTCTCTGTCCAGACAGACTACAAACACTGAACTACAAATGCTATTATACAAAGAAAGGAGGCCTCGGTAACGTGTGCACCATCAGAGTGGGACGAGGTAGGGGAGGAAAGAGTCTTACAGTAAAAGAAAACTTGGGAACGTTGATCAGTTTATGTAAGAAATATGTCTCCTTCAACCTAGTGATTGTACAGCCATGCAACTGTTTCTAGAAAAATGCTTAAGCACAAATAGGAAGAGACATATACAAAGATGTATCGTAATTAATAACAATGAAAACTTGAGTAGAATTGTTCATGTGGGGATGACTGAGTAGAGTATGGAGCCCTAATGCAACAGTTTCAAAGAAGCTACAGCCACACAGAGTGTACAGGAACGCTCTCTATGATGTCACTTAGTGAAAAGACTAGTATTTCAGTTTAGTAACAAGCTATTAAGCTATTTTAACCTGATGTGAGAGTATATGTTCTTGTATACAATGTGATATTTATTAACAAACTGAAAGAAAAACTGTAATGTGTTGCTAATCATGTATGTGAAGGCACTGAGAGGGCTCTGAGGGATGGACATACAGGCAGGGGCCATATTTTGGTGTGTCCTTTGCAGAATGCAATTTGCCTAGGTTACTTTGGTTTTCTGCCATTCTTCCCTTACGTATGGGGAAAGCTCCTACTTTTCCAGAAGTTATTTATGCCGTTATGTTGGAGACATCTGGAAGGCTTGTGAGATGCCTTTCAGAGTCTGCTCGCATTTTCAGCTTTCCCAATAGTACTGCTGTCCTAAAACACCAACGGTGGGACTCCACGGTCAACTTGGCGAACTGTAAAGGGACCCTGGTCATGGTCCATACACTTGGTATCTCAGAACATCTGAGCAGAAATGGAACGATTTGCTCATTCTCTGCCCATAAGAATTAACTGAGAAGGTGAGTTTTAAAACACTTTTTATCCCCTGCTAGCACTTCGATCGATAATAATTCTGAAATGTCAAGATACCTTGGTAAAAAATATCCAAACACCAAAAGCAACTCCCCACACACTATAAGGTGAAAATAACATATATCTATAATTATATCATAAGTTAAATAAAATAGATGAAAGATTTTGCCAAATGTCCTTAACATCTCCGTAGCTTCAAAAATGGCAATATGTTGCTTTCAGGTTTTTAAAAATACCTTAAAAATAGAGTAAGGCAAGTTTGTGGAAAACTTACTGTTTTTATTTTATCCCTTAGTAAATTCGGACAAAACCAACATCAAATTAGCCAGAATTAAGTTTAGGGCTGGTTCCCCCCCTCCCAGCAAAGGTTTCCTTTTTGTCTCTCCCCCAGCAAAGGGTCCCTGCCACATACTCCACAGCAGCTACCCTCTCCCCACTGCTGCTTCAAAGGGCAACTTTCACCACGACTGAGGCTCACAATACACCGCTTCACAGACTGGGAGAGTCTAAGTAAAAGTCAATTTTGGAAAAGGTGAAATTTAATATGATGATAAAGGTGTCTGAGCTGTTATGAAAACAGATACTTCCCCTCACACACAGGCTGCAACCTGGAACATTTTCTGTGAACTGTTCGGAAGACACTTTCATTTTTAACACGGGCCTTCTACAGTCTCTCCACTGCAAAATAAACCTGAACCATTAAACCCCCGAGTCCAACGGAGAAGTGATATATTAATTTTCAATGACCTCATGTGAGACTAAGGTGTGTGTGACAAGTATATATTTGTTTAATTCTGTATCTCTTATGCGAGGATCGGGGAGGAGGTTGTGAAACTAACATGTCAATGTATCGCCAAATCCCCGGGATTTTTTTTAAACGCATGTAAATACATTGAAACACTAAAGATCACAAAATTCCTCCTTTGTTCTGTACTACAATGGCATTACTGTAGAACACAGTTCCGTAAACCAGTAGAATATTATGAAATCAGAATCACATTTGCAATTGCTACTTCGTCCCAGGGAGGGGCAGCTGGCGAGATCGTAGGTCAGAAGGGAAGGTTGCACCCCAATGCCTACCGAGCATCTTTACACAGAGACCGCGGAAGAGAATAGATTCTTTCTTCCTATGGGTTGTCAACTGTACCTGCCTCTGTTGTGAAACTTGCCCGCTTAAAATCCGTGGTTGAAATTGTCAGATTTGTCCCCAGGGTTTAAGCTCCTGAGGTGGCTTCTGTGAATCAGAGTCTGCCCTCAACCTATTGAACAAGCGCAGCGCAAAAGGGAGCAAAGCAGTACTGCCAAGGAACATCATATAACAGAAACCCGGGAACAGCACAAAAAGGCGATCGATCAAACCATAGTGCACATCTGCCTGGAGCGCAAAACTAAAAAGCCAGTCTCCTTTCTGATTTAGATCGTGCCTTGCTGAGTTTCCTGCCACTAATTGAGGAGATAGCAACTTTGAAGAATCGAGGGTGAGATTAGTTGTGGAAATCTCAGCTTTATTATATATTTTAGCCACGTCTAGATCACTTAAGAGGCGGATGTCTTAGGTGGGGCTCTACATCAGCCCCGTGTGGCTATCGTAAAGGGAGAAAAGTCCAAATGATGCTAAATCTTTCAGGTATTTTTTCTTTTTTAAATCTTCTGTAACTCTTAAAAGACACAGCCGGTACCAAGATCAGCGGGGGGCCCAGCCACTGGAGCAGGCGGCTTGGTGCTCCACCTCGTGACCCTCTGAGCTGTCACAATTTCTTGAAGCTTCTCCCATCCAACTCAACTGCGCAGTCTTTGGTAAATTACAAATCACATCTTAGAGAATGTGGTAGCCATTCTTTCTTCTTGCTCCATATGACTTTAGGTTCTAACCCTGGGGTGCGTGTAGATCCAAGTCTCCTCGCACTCTGTCTTCTGCACACCTGGCTATGGCAGCATGGGCACCTGAGCTCGCCTTGCCCCACCTCTGTATTGCGGCATCTCCACCTCTGCAGTGCTCTTCCCGGGAAGCAGACGCTTGCCTGGCCTTGACCTCCACAGCCTGGACTTCGCAGGCCAGCCCAGCGACACCAAAAGAGGTTCCCAGGTGCGAGAAGCTCTAACCTTCAGCTAATCGTTAGGGAAACACCTGGGGCGTCTCTGCCACCTCCTTGCTCCCGGCCTCGCTTGGGGACATTTCCGGCACTAGGAGCAGCTAAGACACTGGATTTGCACCGCTACCTCTGTACTGGTGACGCTATCCCCCAGGCTCCGGGCAGCTCCTCGGATTACTCCCCTGAGCGCAAAAGGAAAGAAAGAGCCGGTCTTGCTGGGCAATGCTAGGCGAAAGCATCTGGGAGCGGAGTCCCGCTGGGAGGATGCGACCGCCCTGGGATCCCGGCGTGGCCGGCAGCTGCGCCTACGCGAGGGGTTAACTGCAGCTCCCGCGGCCCGGCGGGCGCGATCGCTTCCTCTCCCGCTGCCCGGGAACCTGGATACCGCGCCTGCGGGATGTTCGCAGGCTGGGCCGGGCAGTCGGGAAACATGAGAAGGTTTCGGTATTCTGGTTCCCGGGCCGCGCGCGCCCGTCTGGGTAAATAAAGCCGAGACAACGCCGGTGGCCGCGGTGAGCGCGTCGGAGCCTGCGCCGAGAACATGCGGCGGGGATGGGAGTGTGCCTAGTCCCGAGACGGAACTGCCAGCCGCTGGCTGCAGGCTCCGCGGCCACAGGTACGGCCCCGAGTCCCCTCTCCCGAGCTCTGAACCCTAGGCTCACCGAGGCTGGGGCGCCGCTGTTCTCCAGCTCTTTGCACGCCCCGGCTCTGCCCTCCCCTCCCCCACCTCAATCTGAGGTGTAGTGGGGGACGCGCCCCGGGTGTGGGTCAAAGCTAGAGGGTGGGTCTGGGAAGTAGCTACCAACCCACCTGGCAGCCCTCGCTTTGCTTTCTAATTATCCGCGGGGCAGTTCTGCAGGGATCATGTTCGTCAGCACTGTTCGGTGCAAATGTGGGTAAGAGTAGCGCACAGAGGTTCATTTGGGGTTTGGGGGACCTCTCAAGGGAGCCCCGGAAGAATTAGGAACCGCAGGTCTCATGTCTCACGCCGGTTGCAATGGTTCGGGGCTCTCCTAGCACCGCGCCTGCAGGCGCAGAGCTGGAGCATGGCGGTGTTTGCAGGCTGTGGGAAAGGTCCTAGATGGCAAAGCTCACTAAGGCTTTGCTTGGGAAAGCGCGCTGTTGCGTTTAGGACTGGGCTGGTGGAAAGAGGTGGAATGGCACAGGGGAAGGACGCTTGCACCCACAATGAGGCGTGGGCGCCAATCATTGGGATGGGGGGGGGCACAGGCTCCCAAACTTGCTTTGACGCTTACCGAGGCTGGGTGAGCACTCCAGGCCCGTACCTGCCTGCGCAGGATTCAGGCCTAGGGCACAACGCAGCGGCCACCAGAGGTCTGACTTCACTTTTCACACCAATACTGATGGTGGCAGTCGCCTAGTTGCTGTGGCTTGTCCTAAATGTCGCGTGTAGCAACCACTGCGGTGACAAGAGGAAGGACAGGGGGGCGTTGGCGAGTGTAGGCGCTGCGTATTTGAGAAGCTCTCTCTCTCTCTCTCTCTCTCTCTCTCTCTCTCTCTCT